TCTCTCTCTCTTCTCTCCTCTTTTTCTCCCCCCACCTCGAGTTCCGCGCCGTCCCGGAACCAAAATAGCTCGGAGGAGCATGGGATTGGGACGGGACGGAGGTGGGGACAGGGAGGCTGGGCGGAGCCTACGCAGCGCCTACAGCGCCTCCCCGGAATTGCGCGGCCAGGAGGCGGAACTGCAGCCTCGCTCTGGTCCGCTCAGCTGCTTCCCCGGGAGGTGTCTGTCCCCAGCCAGCCGTGCTCCAAGACCCGCGGATGCTGTAGCTGCCCGGCAGGGCCTCCTGCTGCTCCTGAGCCTTGCCGGCTGCCCTTCTCTGTCCCTGTGCCTCCAGCAACTCCGGCAGTAGAGGCTTCTTCTCATCCTTCCCAGGACATCTCCAGCAGTGGGAGGGATAAGCATCGGGGGTGAACGGGGACATCAGTGAATTTTCTTTTGCCAGAACGTGCCTGTCCTCCGCTCCCCGCAAAGGGCTATGGATTGAGGGTTTGAGGAGATCGCCTCTGCTCTCCTCAGTCAGGAATCAGGAAGACCTGGGTTCAGATCCTGCCTCTGACACACACTAGCTGTATTCTCAATGCTCTCAGGCAATTGCAGTTCTCTAACTTTCAGAACAGTTGCTGATTTACGTTGTCAGTCACAGGGCAGCAATCACCACCCCCCGGAAAAAAAAAAAGGCAAACAATGCCAGAAACGTCCAGGTTTGGTGGAAATACCATTGGTTTTTGGAATGAGAAGAGATAGATTGTAGTGCACAACCCTAATTCAAAACTCTCATTATCGTTCTGGACTGTTATAATCGTCTCCTAACTGGTATAGCTTCAGCAGTTCTCTCCAGTTCATTCTCCAGGGTTTGGTTCTGTCACTCCACTGCAGTTGTTGCCTTTTGCTTCTAGAATGAAATGCAAATGCCTTAGCCTATCATTCAAGGCCTTCCACGATCTTATTCCAATTTAATTTTTTCTGGCCTTTCTTATGCAATCTCCTTATGCAATCTGTGTTCCAGACAAATGAGACTACCAGTCATTCTCCCATCTTATCCTACTCTCCAACCATGAAATCCTTTCTTTTAATATTCATTTCAAATGCCACCTCCTCTCTGAGGCCTTCCCTGATTCCTCTGTACCTAGAAATGATCTTTCCTTCTTCAAATCCTTCATGCTGCTTTGATCTTTCCTATGCAACAATTATATTCTTACAGATGAAGAAGTGGAGGTCAGAAAGTTAAATGATTTGCCCAGGATCATACAGCTGGCCAGTGTTGGAAGTCTTTGTGAGTGTCTGAAGCTGGATTATGAACTCGGGTATTTTTATGCCTCCTCTTTTAGCTTATGAATACCTTGGATATGGGGAGGGGGGTTGCATTGAGAGTGAATAGAGGATGATACCTAGGTTTTGAGTCTGGGTAACTGAAAGGATGGTGGTGCCTTTGACAGTAATAGGGAAGTTTAGATGGGGAAGAAGGTTTTGGGGAAAAGATAATGAGTTCAGTTTGGGATATGTTTAGTTCAAGATGTTGTATAAATGGTTGAAGATGTGAGACTGGAAGTCAGAGGTTAGGACTGGATAAGTAGATTTAAGAATCATCAACATAAAGATGGTAATTAAACCATAGGAGCTGATGATATCACCAAATGGAATCATATAGAGGGAGAAGAGAAGAGGACCCAGGAGAGAGCTCTATGGGACATAGCAAAGGAGACTTAGAAGGAGTGGTCAGATATTAATTCATTCAATTAAACATTAAGTGCCTACTATAATTCCAGGCACTGTGGTAAGCACTAGAGATATAAAAGAGACAAAAAAAAATAGTCCTGCCCTCAAGGAGCTTACAGTCTGATAGAGACAACATGCAAACAAAATACATACAAAACAAACTATACAGGATAAATAGGAAATAATTAAAAGGAAAAGCACTGGAATTCAGAGGGGTTGGGCAAGGTTTCCTGTAGAAGTAGAGTTTTTAGTTGGGACTTAAAGGAAGCCAGGAAAGTCGATAATCAGAGTGGAAGAGGGAGAGTGATTTAAGCACAGGGGACAGCCAGCCAGAGAAAATACCCTGAGCTGAGAGATGGAGTGTCTGACTTGTGAAACACTCAGGAGGCCAGTGTCCCTAGATTGCAGAGTACCCGATGGGGAGTAAGATGTAAGAAGACTGGAAAGGCAAGAGGAGATATACAGCTTCTTTGTACCTATACATATATGTATAGCTTCATGTACGTGTTGTCTTTTCTATCATATTGTGAACTCTGAGAGCAGAGACTGTCTTTTACCTTTGTATCCCCATCACTATGTGCCTGGCACATAGTAGGCACTTAATAAATGCTTGTCTGACTGAACACTGGCAGAACGTTGTAATTTTTCATCCTTATGTCCATAGTATCTTGTGCTTTGCACATAGCAGGTGTTTAATAAATATTATTAACTGAATTGAGTTTCGAAAGGAGAAACTGTGAAATGGAATAGGGAGTGACAGCAGAACATCCCTGGGATTGATTACTTACCGCTTAATAGCCAAGCTTGACCCACCTTGCTCCTTGTGTGACCTTGGGCAAGTCATGGCCTCTCTGTCTTAGTTTTCTTAACAAAAAAAAAGACTTTGGACTTGATGTTCTTTCTCCTCTTTTCTGGCATTTGTGACTTAATTATACCCTGGGCTAAGCTGAATACCTCAAATGATGGTTTCGTACTCACTGGGAACCATTCTTCAGCATTCCCTTGGCATTACACAGATGAGCAGACCTGAGCACAGAGTGCTGTAGTGGGAGGAGGGAATAAAGTCATAGGGGAAGAGAAATTGGGCAACAGCCCAGGAGCAAGGGCTTTAACCTAGAAGGTGGCAGCTGCACAGGCAAATGGCAATCGGTAAAGTGGCAGGGTGGGGAGAGTCAGTCTGGTGGAGCCGAGACTTGGTAATCACAAAGACTTCCAACACTGGCCAGCTGTATGATCCTGGGCAAATCATTTAACTTTTCTGACCTCCACTTCTTCATCTGTAAAATGGGGATCTATCACTTACCTCCCAGGGTTATTGTGAGGATCAAATGAAATTATGAACACTCTGGCAAACCTTAAAGTGCTATATAAATGTCAGCTATGATTATTATTCTGTTTGGAGACTGCCCTGGGTAGGGGCTAGGGGTGGAGAGGATCTTCATTTCAAAATAAGGACTTACAAAGTACTCACCTAGACTAATTCCAAAAAAAAAAGGGATAGTGATTAGGATTCTAGTTATTTGATTAAGTTTCATGTGAAGACGGGAAAAGCACTAGACTTGAAATCAGAGAAGCTGGGACAGAGTATTGACAGCTAGGTGGTACAGTAGATAGAGTTCCAGGCCTGGAATCAGGAAGACCCGAGTTCATAATCCAGCTTCAGACACTCACTAGCTGTGTGACCCTGGGCAAGTCACTTAACCTCTGATTGCCTCAGTTTCTTCACCTGTAAAATGAGCTGCAGAAGGAAACAGCAAACCACTCCAGTATCTTGGCCAAGAAAATCCTAAATGGAGTCACAAAAAGTCAGACACAACTAAATGACTGAACAACAACCTATACCAGGTATGTGGTCTTAAGCTGTTGATTTCACTACTCTTGAGTCTCAATTTCACCCTCTATCAAAGGCAGAAGATTGGGCTAGAGAAAGGCTGAATCTTTTCTTGTGTTGTAGACCCCTTTTGCACTCTGGGGAAGCCTCTTCTCAGAGGGGGGACCACTTCTCAGAACAATGCTTTTAATGAATTGAAAGGAATGCTAATTTTCAGCTAGAGGTTATTGAAAATAAAGATGTAATTTTTTCCCCCATCCAAGTTCATGGACCCCCTGAAAACCTATTCATGGATGTCTATGGCATCTGTCTGTGGACCCCAGATTAAGAACCCTGGGCTAACTACTGAGTCTGTATCCCAAAGAATTTTTTTTAAAAAGTAAAGGAAAAGGATCTATATCAGAAGTGGGTAACTTGTGACCTCAAAGCCACATGTGGCCACAGGTTTCCCACCCTTGAACTATATGTACAAAAATATAGCAGCTCTTTTTGTGGTAGCAAAGAATTGGAAATTGAGGGGATGTCCATCAACAGGGGAATGGCTGAGCAAGTTGTGGTATATGATTGTGGTGGAATGCTATTGTGCTATAAAAAATGACAAGTGGAATGGTTTCAGAAAAACCTGGGAAGACTTACATGAAATGATGCAAAGTGAAGTGAGCAGAATCAGAACATTGTACACAGTAACAGCAATAATGTACAATAATCAGCTGTGAATGAATGACTTTGCTAATCTCAGCAATACAACGATCTAAGACAATTCCAAAGGACTCATGATGAAAAATGCTATCCACTTTCAAAGAAAGCTTTGATGGCGTCTGAATGCAGATCGAAGGATCATTTTTTCTCTTTTTAATCTTTTCTTGCCTTTTTTTCTAACATAGCTAATATAGAAATTCATTTTGCATGACTTCACCTATATGATTGATATCACATTTCTTGCTTTCACAACGGTTGGGAGAGGGATGGGAAGGAGGAAGAAAACTCATCAAAAAAAAATTTTAAGTGTTAAAAATAAATACAAAAAAACCCAACAACCTTGAAAGAGATAATCTCTATAATCCCTTACAGCTCAGAATGCTATTATCATCTTGGCTTTTTTTTTTTAGGCAATTGGGGTTAAGTGACTTGCCCAGGGTCACACAGCTAGTAAGTGTCAAGTGTTTGGTCTGAGGCCAGATTTGAACTCAGGTTCTCCTGACTGTAACCACTGTACCACCTAGCTGCCCCTTGGCTTTCTTTTCAAAGAAGTCCTCAGGCTGGTATCCTGATGAAGAGGAAAAGGAGAGGAGAGCCTCTACCCTGACGCTCTAGAAGGCACATCCTAGGATCTGAGAATTTAGAGCTAGTAGAAGGGACTTATCAAATACAGAGTCCCCAAAAGTTGTTTATTATAACTACAACCCCCATCACCAATGTAGAGTACCTGAAGCCAAAGAAAACAGACCTCAAGTGCCTGAGCCACGAATACCCCTTCATGGGCTTTATTTATTAATTTTTTACAGTGAACAATCAAAAGAATCACACAAGTATATTTACAGTATATTTCAGACCATGTGAGAATTCCTGACCCCATGCTTCTCTCTGTGCTCCCCAACCTTTCCAAGGTTGCACAGTCTGACAATGATAAACCCCACCCCAGACCAATGACAAGCCCACCCACCAGGAGGAAGGGGCATCTTCTGTAGGGGATATATACAGGCACTGCTGGGGAATAGTCTGTGGAACCTAGTCAAAAATCACTAGAATCAGATTTTCCCCCCCATGAAAGACCATCTTTCCATCAAATCTCAGCATCAGGAAAGAATAGCATTTCTGAGGTCAAATGAATAGCATACACTCCCCACCTGGTTGCAGGGAGGGATCTATGCCTGTGGGTAAAGTGCAGACAAGTTTTGAAATGGAAAACCCTGGCTGGGGTCCTATAGGGAACCCATCCCAAGTGTGTGATCTGACATAATCACAGTTCTGGGTCATGAGGAGAGGAAGGGTCTTGGGGAATTTAAAGCCTTTAACTGCTGTTGGGACAGTTGCAGCGTCTGCTGTCTGGTTTGGAAAGGGAGGATTATTCCTGAGCTGCTACAGACAGGGAGACCTTCCAGCAGCTGTATAATGTGATGCATGGAAGATGTCTTTCATCTCCATGTTAGGCTCTTTTGTTACACACACATACAAACACACACATCTACACATACATTTGCACTTAGGGACGTAGTAGTAAGCAAGGACTGGCAGTCTTCCCTAGTCCTAGGCACAAGTTCTGGGATTTCAAATCCATTTGATGGAGAAGGACCGGCTGAGGTTCAAATTAAGGCCACTCATGCTGAGAACCTATGGGATAGGAGAGTTCATTTCAGTGAGTCACACTTCCTAGTAAGTCTCCTTTTTGGCCATCCCCTGGCGCCATGGCCAGGTATGACTGATACAACAGTAAGCTATGGTGCTCTGTGGTCTCGTTGAGTAATATCAGCTACCCAACAGGGGATCTGTGGAGGATACAGGGTATCAAAAGGCACCAAGAAATGGAGCTGGGAGATGGCACTTGGCTACTTTCTATCAATCAATAAACACTTATTAAGCAATTACTATGTGTCAGGCACTGTGCTAAGTGCTAGGGATACAAAAAGAGTCAAAAGACAGTCCTTGCCCCCAAGGAGCTTACAATCTAATGGAGGAGGCAACATACATACATAAATAGGAAATAATTAACAAAGGAAAGCACTGGAATTAAGAGGGATTGGTAAAGGCTTCCTGTAGAAGGTAGGTAGTTGGGATTTATAGGAAACCAGGAAGGTCAGTAGTCAGAACAGAGGAGGGAAAGCATTCCAGGGATGGGGGAACGGCCAGAGAAAACATCAGGAACATTTATTTTGCACATATTTTGTATTACATGTATAAATGTTATTTCTTCCAATATATTCTGGCTCCTGAAGGCAGCGACTATTTCATTTTTGTATCAAGTCAAGAAACATTTATTAAGTGATTAATATGTGCCAGAACTATGCTAAGTGACAGGGAGACAAAGAAAGGCAAAAACAGTCCTTCACCCCAAGGAGCTTTCAATCTAATGAAAACAACCATTTACATATATGATCTATGCAGAATACAATTTTTGTGTCTGTATCCCCAGCACCTTGCACATAGTAGATAATAAATGCATGCTGAATGACGGAATCAATGCTCTTTGCAGCACCAAGTTTTAAGACCAGAAATATGGTGCAATTCCCTAAACAGAATGACAGCTGATCCTTTTGAAGGGGAAAAAAAAGCCAGGGAAGAAGAAGCTCCAGATCATGTAACAGTTGTTGCAGCCCAGAAAGAGTTTGTTAGGTGATCAAGAAGTAGGACTTCTGCAGGTCATTTGGAAATATGTGTGCCCAAGATCACAGCAGGATAAAGGGAGGAAGGGGCACAAGGGTTAGAGGGACAGTGGAAGCTAGGGATGAGAACTGACAGGACTATAAGAGAAGGAAATTAGAGATGAGTCAAGAAATAGATCTTACCTGGCTCTCCAGGTAGGAGAAGGGGATTTCTTGGCCATTGGCAGTGACCACCTGAGGCTGTTTCTGCACACCATAAACTGTCAGTCCATCCACAGTGATGTAAATAGCTTCCAAATTATAGTGAAGAACCGAGGATGTGAAAACATTCTGTGAACGAGACACGGCTGGACATTGAAATAACCATGCCACAGAGCTCTCTTTCTCATGTTGGAGAGTGTGACCTTCTCTTTTTTACCCCTTTCCCTGCCCTGGATTGACAAAGCTTTCTCTAGGGATGATGATTCCTGAGTGTCCAAAGATATTAGTTAGATCTGCGGCTAGGACCTTTGCTTGGAGCTTTTAATCAGGATGTTTTCCCAACCCAATATACCTTATTCTCTCCTCCTCCAATCCATATCCTATAATTAATTAAGAAGCTGAGCATAAATGCCACCTCATGAAGGCCTTCCCTGATCATGCAGTTGCAAGGGCCTCCTTTCTTCCTGAATTACCTTGTATTTTTTAAATAGATTTACTATATATTTATTTTGTACACAAACACACACATACATGTTGTTTCCCAATATAGAATGTGAGCTCCTTATGTGGAGCAGTTTCATTTTTGTCTTTGTATTTTTGTATTTTCACAGTATCAGGCACATCATAGGCACTTAATAAATGTGTATTATTAATTGATTGGTTGATTCAAGTCTTGCCTGCTTAATAAAATCTCCCTTTTCTTTCTTTTCCCTTTCCCTTCTCCCAATTCTTATTGTCCAAACTACACATAACAACAGACTTGTCTATTATTCTAGATAATCAGTATTTTCAGCACAAGGACTGTCTTCTACCAGCCATACAGTAGGTACTTTAAAAGTGATTCAATTTTACACTACCTGTGAGACATTAAACACCACATAGGAATAGTTGCCTCTCTCCAAGGTATCCAGGCTCTGCCCGTCATCCCAGAAGAGGTCCCCCACAGCCATGCCCTCCTGGGACAGAGCAGCCACCAGAAGCAAGGGGTTTCCACCGCTCATCCAACTGGTCGTGTCTGGTTTCTGAGATTGACAAAGGTGGGGAAATCAACCTAGTGGATACGTGCTGGGTTCCCTTTGTTCTCAGGGCATGGATGAGAATTAAGGTAAGCTTGTTCATACAGGAGCTGAGAATTGAAGAGGCTAATGATAATGTCTCTGTCACTTACTGCCTGTGTGACATTAGGTGAGTAACTTAACCTTTCTGACCTTCATGATCCTCATCCATAAAATGAGGGGAGTGGACTTGATTCAAATAGAAACAGAGGTCACCAAGCTGTCCACAAGGACCTCTACAGACCACATAACTTAGTTTTTTAATGTAATTGTATTTATGTTTTATTGAATTTTTATTTATTTTGTTAAATCTTTTCCAATTACATTTTAATCTGGTTTGGCCAGCTCTTGGGAACGTTGTGGCTCAAGTGTTTGACGTCCCTGGTTTTGATAACCTGTAAATTTATTTCATAAGGTATAAAGTTCTCTGACTCTGATATGGAAGGCCACAGAAGGGCTAACACCTATGAGACAAGATTAAGGAATCTGCGTATAAAAGGGAAAGGTTGATGAGTCTGAAAATTGATGTAATGCTCTTATAACAGGAAAGGGCCAGGTATTTTCATTTCTACTGAGTACAGAAGAGGAGAGGAAATGTATTTAAAGCACGAATGATACAAGCTAGAAATAAGGAAGAATTTCTTGACTGCAAGAGATAGTAAAATGACCAGTGGAAGTCATGGAATCTGCTTCCCAAGATTTTTAAATGGAATAGATATTTTCATCTGACCAGGACAGCTCAAAGCAAGAAAACGGACAAAATTGTCACATTCCTGTCACCTCTAGGATTGATGATTAGGGAACCTCTATCCCACAGGTACCCAACAACTCTGGAGGGATGACGGCAGGGAGGCAGGGAAGAGAATCTTAGGATTTCTCCAAGGTACCAGAATCCTACCTGGGTAGGGAGAACAGCACCTTCACGAATGTGTACATTTATATGGTTAAGAGGAGCTGCCAACTTCACTTTTTCTCCTTGGCTTTGCAGAGATGAGCCCTGAGTGGATACAAGCAGAAATAGCTCCTTGAAATATAAGAAATGGGAGTTTTTCAAAAGGGATCTCTCATAGGTTTCTCTCTCTCTCTGTCTCTGTGTCTCTGTCTCTTTCTCTCTCTCTGTCTTTCTCTCTCATTCTCTCTCTCTTTCTCTTATGCTCTCTCTGTGTCTCATTCTGTTTCATTCTCTCTCTGTCTCTGTCTCTCTTTCTCTTTCTCATTCTCTCTCATTCTCTCTCTGTCTGTCTCCACTTTTCTGTCTGTCTCTCAGTCTCTCTCTTTCTCTCTCTGCCTCTGTCTCTTTCTTTTTCTTTCTCTCTCTCTCTCTTTCTCATTCTCTCTCTCATTCACTCTCCTCTATCATTCTGTCTCTCTCTCTGTCTCTCTCTCTCTACTCTTCTATCTCTCTGTCTCACTCTCTCTCTCCCCCCTATCTCTGTTGGTCTGTCTGTCTCTCATCTGTGACCACAAATACATGTTTGGAAAGCAGAATCTGTATATGTGGTTATATGAGGAAACCACTTTATAACTGTTTAGAAACCGTTCTGTTTTGGTTCTGCATTCTCCCCCATCCAAACTCATTCCTCTAACAGCTGCCAGATTAATCTTATTTTAGTCAGACACAATCATATTACTCCTGTGCTCCATATGCTTCAGTGGTTATCTATTGCCTATCAAGTAAAAATAAAAATTCTTTAGCCTGGCATTCAAGGCTATCACCAGGCCTTTTGCAACTCTACCTTTCCAGTCTTATTTCATGACTCCTCTCCATTTGAGCTACACTCTAGTTAAAGCCAGCATTATCCCATCTCTGTTCTTTTGCCCATGTCATTATTTATGCTTGGAATGCCTTTCATCCCTACTTCCAGTTGACTTCCTCTATTGAAAGTCTTTCAAGTAACAGATCAAGTGCTATTTCCTCCCTAATCTTCCCAGTGAATAACAATCCTCCTTCCTTCCTGCAACCTAAGAATTGCACTTGTTTTGTATCTTTTTCATGTACTTCACCATGTACTGTTTTCCAACACAGTTATTTGCATATGCATTGTATCTCCCTACCATATTGTGGGCAGGGACTACGTCTTATTTAATCTCCCTATCTCCCCCCATGGCCTAGCATCCTGTTCTACATGATAGGCTCTTAATTCATCATTGTTGAAGTTGTTCAGTAACCAACACATAAGTGAGCAAAGGCCGCTTCTTAAAAAGAGAGCTAGGTGGTGTAGGGGATGGAGTACTGTACCCAAGTACAGTGAATCTTTAGGAAGACTTGTGTTTGAATCCTACCTCAGACACCTCCTAGCTATGTGACCCTAAGCAAGTCACTTAACTTCTTTCACCCTCAGTTTCCAAATCTATAAAATGGAGACAATAGCCCCTATCTCACATTGTTGTTATGAGATCAAGCAAGATAATCTACACAAAGCACTTTGCAAACCTTAATGCTCCATATAATGTTAGTTATTACTAATATTAACAAAGGCAAAATAAGGAAAACAACTGAAGTTTAGCAAAGTACCACACTGTAGCAAATTATTTACATGTGCTTATATCGTCATATTAAATGTTGTTTTAAAATTATGTAAATATTAGTAATTAGTGAAAAGCTAAGTATTTACTTTTATTTTAATAGGAAATATACTTTATATTTAAAAAAAAAAGCACAACTGAGTGTATCATTCCTCTACTCAGTTTCCTTGCCTGGAAAACATCTAGGCAGCTTACCCGCATTGTTACAGCCCAAGATACACTCTCATTGTAGGTATTCAAGTTGAAGGCAAATGAATGAATGAATGAATGAATGAATGAATAACAAACTTTAGGCATAGAATCTTAGGAGGAAATAATCAGCCTCTCCAGGGATGGCTTTATAAACTCACATAGACTATAAAGTGATAGCAAATATCACTGTAAGTGAGCCCATCTGCCATTTTGTGACAATTATGAAACATTTGTATGATACTCCATCATGTTGGTTTGAGACCCTCTCTACCAGAGAAAGCAAGTGAGACCATTCAGGAAAGAAGGATACCAAACTTTCATTTTATCCTCTTATTCATAAGTCTACTGTCCTTCCTGATGGATGCCTGAGGAAGAAAGAGGCTTCTGACTGTCCTGGGCTTGTAGAAGAAGTTCCATTTACACACCAGCCTGGCTGGCCAGCTAGCCTTTGGCCGAATTTTTAAATCCCCATCCCTACCCAAGCCTTTCTATTTCAGCCATGACCATCTAACCCTGCTACTTACCGTATAATAGTCATACCACACCCCACTGGGGAAGTAGCCAATCACTGCATCTGCACTTGGCTCCAGTACAGGGGTCACCAAGAGATTTCGCCCCCATAAGAACTGCTGATCCAGGGCATAGGTGTTTCTGTCTTGTGGGAATCTGAAGGAAAAGTCATGCCCCCCATATACCATATTATTTATTTATATGAACATAGAATATTTATATAGATATTTCTATGCATACATAAATATATATATAGATATTTCTATGCATACATAAATATATATATATATATATATATATATATATATATATATACACACACACACACACATATGCATATGTGTCTTATATATATATATAGGTTACGCATACACACTATGTATATACTCTTGCAAGGATGATTTTCATACCTCGGCTGCCCTGCTGTCCTCTCCCCCCTACTAGTTCCTGTCAAGTACAGGCTCCTATTATCTGTAAACAATAGTATTCCTCCCCAACTCTAACCCATTTAAGTCCCCTGAAAGTCCCCAGAGACCATAAGCCACAAGCACACTATCTCTGTGCATCTTAGCCCTATCCTCACTCAAAGAAGAGGGGCCTGGCCACGGTGTCTCCCCTGCGGTGGGCATGGTGAAAGAGGGTATAGAGGTAGGGCAGCAGAGCATATCGGGTCATAAGTGCTTCCTTCATTGCCGTTCGAGCTGGAGGGCTGAATACAACTGGATCCTGGGCCTGAAGAAAGAGAAGCAAACAGAGAGGTGGAAAGCCAGTTCAGCAGCACTGCCCCCACTCAGAAGTACACAGTTAAATTTCTGGGTTTCAACCCAACCATTCCTTCCTTCTTTCATTGATCTGTGACATAAACTCTCTGCTCAGGCCAATCCTCTTGCCACACCCCACAAATGACGTGGGCATTCCCACTTTGCTATCTCACTGGGCCCACAACAGACACTCAGGGAAGGTCATACATGCCCTGGATGATGCTGGAAGAGGCAAAGACACCAACAGATCCAGGGGCAGTTCTGGCCTCAATCAAGAGAATTAAGATGGTTCAAAAATTTTTCTTCCTTTGTACCTGCCATTCTCCTACCCCCACTCCTCTCCATCAGGCCACATGGTAGAGTGAGGTGGTATCTGGAGATATCAGTACCTATGTGTAGGCATCAGATGGGGCAGAAGCTGTGGACCACAGCCAGCAGAGACCTACCCTTGACTCTCAGTATATCTGGATAGGAGTGGGCATGCCATAAAACCACGGGAACAAATTCAAGTTGGAAAGGACCTTCGAGGCCATTAAGTCCAAATTCTCATCTTATAGAAAAGGAAACGAAGGGCTAACAAAGTTTAGTAATTGACTGAGGGAGGATTTGAAAACAGGTCTTCCTGCCTGCATATTTCATTCACTACTCCATGCTGTCTATTCAAAACCCAGCTCAAAACTCACCTCCTCCAGGAAGTCCACCCTAACAGTCCTGTCCAACTCTGCCTTCCTCTATGTCACTTCCCCTGTGCACCTATATATTCAACAGGGTAAAAGCTAGCCACAATTTTAAAGCAAAAGATAGTGCCTCCAAAACCAGTCCATTTACCTTTCAGGTATCGTGTCCTTTGCCCACCCATCCTCACTCTGCAACAAAGTGGAAATGAATTAGGGGAAGGATCTAAAAGCTTACCATGGAATGATTAGTAAGACTAAATGTATCTCCTTTTCCAGGAGAGTTTCCATTTAAAAAGAGAACAAAGCCCCAAGGGAAAGGAATGAATCAGTAACAGTAGAGTTTTCAGGTAACCGCAAGCTGGCATGGATATTATGGAGTGGAAACTTTCTTTGTGTCCCTGAAATTGTACCTCCTCTGCCTACTGATCACCCTAGCCCTGGTACTCAAAGTATTACTTGCTTCTTTGGCCTTTTCCCTATGTTTACATCCACTGTTCCTGTGCCTTCCACTTCTTCTGTTTCTACTTCTAAGGTGCCTCCTATAGGACTGGGCACAAAATTGCCACACAAGGAGTGTCACGTACATTCTCATCTGATTCAGTAATGAGGACAGAAACCAGAAGACATGGGGACAACTCTGGCCTCAATTAAGAAGGTCAAGGGACTCAAAAATTCAGGGAAAAAAAAATCTAGTTCAGTCTCCCTGACTTTTTTGTTATTTTGCTTAGAGGTAACTAGGTGGTACGATGGATAGAGAGCTGGGCCTGCAGTCAGGAAGATCTGAGTTCAAATCCAGCCTTAGATATGTTTTAGTTGTATGAATCTGAACAAGTTACTTAACCTCTGTCTGCCTTAGTTTCCTCAACTGTAAAATGGGGATAACAATAGCACCTATCTCCTCCCAGTGTTGTTGTGAGGATCATGAGATGATATTTATAAAGTGCAGAGCACAGTGCCTGGCAAATAGTAGGTGCTTAATAAATGTTTATGTCCTTTCTTTTGTTTTGCTCTATGTTCATTGACTTTATTTCCTCTCCTTTCTCTTTGACAATCGGCCTTATGACTTCATAAATCAAATGACCTTCCACCTTCACCTGTGAGTTCTTCATTGCCAAATATGCTTGCCTCTTCCCAATGTTTATCCTTCTTGACCTTTCTTCAGGATTTGACACGGGGCCCTGTTGACCACACACTTCTCCTGGATGCTCTTCCCTCTCTGCATTCTCATCTCCCACCTGTCTAACTGCTCTTTCTCAGCCTCCCTTGTTGGTTTATTATCCACCACAAATCCCCTAACTGTGGGTTTATCAGAGAGCTCTTGTCCTGAGCCCTCTTCTCCTGCTCCATGCTCTCTTGGTGCTGACATGGGCTTAAGTATGATCTTTATTCTAATGACCTCCAGATACTATATATTTCTAGTCTTATTTTCTCTCCTAAACTCCAGACCTATATCAACTTTTATCTACTGGATGTTTCAAACACGTCACACAGACATCTCACAAACTCAACATATTTCTGGGCAGCTGGATGGTGCAGTGGATAAAGCTCCAGCCTTGGAGTCAAGAGGACCTGAGTTCAAATCTGACCTCAGACACTTGACACTTAACTAGCTGTGTGACCCTGGGCAAGTCACTTAACCCCGATTGCCTCACACCAAAAATAAAACAACAACAACAAAAAAACCCTCAACATATCCAAATTTGAACTTCTTATCTTTCCCCACCAAACCCACCCCTTCTTTCAAATTCTCTTGTTTCCATCAAAGATGCCACCATCCTTCTAGTCACCTACATTTGCCCCTTCTGTGTCTTCCTCAATTCTTTGTTCTCACTCCCATTCATAATCTAACCAGTTGTCAATGTGAGAAATGGTTATTTCTCTTTTATATTAATAACTAATTATTCAATCAGAACCAAGGTTTTTCCCCTTTTGTATTTCTTCATCCAGAAATCAACCACTGTGGGAAATCTCTCTTCAAGACTTACCCAGCCAGGATGGCGAAGATCTAATCAGGCAGTAAAAGAAATTCTGGATTTAGGCTAATGGGTGCATTCCTGCTCACTGTGTTTGCTCAGACAGGTCAGGGAAAATCTAGATCCTCCCTTTTGTCAGACAGGTGATATGGAAATTTATAAGTCTTTTTGACAAGACTTGGGTGATCCAAGCCATGTAACCCAAGACCCTCACTGTAATATAGCCCAGATTCTCATTGGAATATTCATTCTCTCATTAACTGTTACCCAATCAGAACTGATTGCCACCCTCAGTAACAACTACTCTTCCAAGGGCATATAAACTGTGAGCCCAACACCATGAGGAGTCTTTGGTCTAAGAGAGATGGCCAAATGACCATCCTTTTATCAGTAAACATGCTGGTATTATTAATAAAATGATTAAATTGCCCAGAAACTACGTCTCTCAAACTTTTAAAATGCCACACCAAATCTTGTCACTTCTACTTCTACAGTACCTCTCATATTACTCCCCTTCTCTCTACACATACTATAGTTCAGGCTCTCTTCACCTTTCAGCTGAACTATTGCAAAGCCTTCCAATTAGATGCCTTGCCTCAAGTCTCTCTCCTCTTACAATCCACTCTCACAGCTACCAAAGTGATTTTTTTTTTCCCCTGAAGGGCATGCCTCACTATGTCACTGCCCTACTCAGTGAGTTCCTGTGGCTCCCTATTGCTTCTAGTATCAAGTATAATCTCCACTAGTCGTCTTTTGAAATCCTTCATAACCTGGCTCCAATATCCCTTTCCAACTTTGTCACGTTACTCCCCTTCCCACTCTCTACAGACCTGCAAAAATGGGCTTTTTGCTCTTCCCCAAACATGGCATTCCATCTCCTGTCTCTATTCCATGGGCTCTCCCCCATGCCAGGAATATACTCTGACACTCTCTCACTCTCTCCTCATCTCTTCTTCTTAGAATCCCTTCTTTCCTTCCATTTCCTTCAAACCTCTGTTCAAGAGCATCCTTCTACATTAAGTCTTGCTTGATTCCTTCAGTGACTCCCCTTCGAATCACCTTGTATCTATTTTAATTATATCTTACCTGTTTATTATATTATATCCTACCTGTTTCCCCTCAAAAATAACACTGTACTTATTTTGCTTATATCTTATCTACACCCTACATTTGAACTTATTGTCTTCCTTGGACAGACCATAAATTCCTTGAGGGAAGGGACTATTTTCATTTTTATCTTTGTGTACCCAATACCTAGCACATAGTAGGCACTTAATAAATGCTTGCTGATTGACTAGTAGTGGCTCAATAAATGCTTTTTGATTACTGATTGATTGAGAGGGTGTGAGGTATTAGAAAGAGCCATTCAAGCATTCCCCTTGAAATGCTATCTTATCAATGCTGAGCTCTTCCCCGAGTCACCTTGACATCTTTGGTGTTGTGGTTTCGGGCAAAAGGATAAAAGGCTCCGAGCTGCATCCACCGAGTACACAGTTCCTCAGTTGTAGACCCTGAAAACCCACAGATATCGGCCCCAACTAGGGGAATCCCAAAGAGATTGAAGTTTAGCAGACCTGGGAATGGATAGAATGAGATAACCCATAGTCAACACTAATGAAAACAAAACTAGTATTTGTGTAAGACTTAGGTGACAAGAGGAAAAAATAGGAGGACCTTAACTGTTTGGGACTCAGAAAACACAAGGTTTGAATCCCGCCTCTGTCTTACTGTACAATTCAGAGCAAATCACTGCTCCTTTCTGGGTCTCATTTTCCTCTTCAGTAAAACAGAATACAAAGCTAGCTTCTCCTCTTCTCCGGAGCAGCAAGTACAAAGGAATGAGAAGCCCTTGGTATGTATCAGTCACAAAGAAACAGCTGCTTGGATATTACAGAAAGGAGAAAATCGAGGTGATTTCCAAGAGCAGGTCACAGACATAGGAACTCCTCTCCCTCCTGCTGTAATGAGAATTGGGTGTGGTACTTTTGGTTGTTCTGGGGAACGTTATGTAAAACATAGAATGTCAGGGCTGGAAGAGGCCTGAAGCTCAAGGGCTCTGGAGGTGGCTGGATAGACTCTTGATTGAGTCTTACCTGGGATTGACCAGTACATGTCCTTCCACTCACTCCTATTGTCCCCCAGCCAGTGCCCAGAGTAGCGGCCTTGACTGGGAAAGGTGGATCGGGAAATGATAAATGGGCGCTTTCCACGGATAGCAATCAAGGCACTGAAAGACAAGAACGATCCAGTCCACAAGCCAATATACTCAGAAATCTCAGGGACTGGAGAAAAACAGGAGGCATCAACCTGTTACTAAACCTAAACCCTGCCACACTGTTCAGCCCCTCGGTCATAAAGATGACTCAATTCAACATGTACCTACTCTGTGCCAGGCACTGTGCTAAGTGTGAGAAATAGAAAGAAAGGAAAAATCAGTCCATACCCGCCAAAAGCTCACAATCTACTGGGGGAGACAACATGTAAACAGCTATGTACAAGCAAGATACATAGATAGATAGATAAATTAGAGATAATCCCATAGAGAAAGCACTAGCATTAAGACTGGTGGTAGGGATTGGGAAAGGCCTCTTGCAGAAAATAAAAAGAATTCTAAGGAATGATGCCTTTTAGGAAAACATTGTAGCTTTGCTCCCTATGAACACCTCTCTCCTCCCAAAGCATATAGGTCCTTTTTCTTAAAGAAGTGGTCCCTGGGTAAACATAAGAAATGAAATGATTAGGTGGAAATAAGCTGTGTACTAGTTATTTTATAGCAAGAATGGGAGTAGATTTTATCAAAAAAGCTAGCCTGCATTGGTTAGATCAGAAAGAACTCTCCTGGGTATGTGGGGAAGACTATGTGGAAGGCAGGGATGGAGTCTCTGGGTCAGAGACACTCTGCAGCAGATGGCAACAGCACTGGCTAGGACAGCACATGTGAATAATGGTTAGGAGACACATCATCACCGAGGGAGGCTGTCTACAGCATAACTCTAGTCTCTACTGTAAGCAACCTTGGGATGCCTCAGGAGAAGGTGAGAACAAGCAGGCTATTGCCTTGGACATGGCTGGGAAACCTGTGGCCTCCAGGCCACATGTGGCCCTCTAGGTCCTCGGGTACGGCCCTTTGACTGAATCCAAACTTCACAGAACAAATCCCCAGTCAAAAGGCCACACCTGGGGGCAGCTCAGTGGCACAGTGGATGGAGCTCCGGCCTTGGAGTCAGAAAGACCTGAGTTCAAATCTGGCCTCAGACGCTTGACACTTACTAGCTGTGTGACCCTGGCTGGGCAAGTCATTTAACCCACAGGTTTCCCACTGTTATAATATCACTACAAATTGTGGGTACCCACAAGTGGAGAAGTACTGTTCTGACCAATTTCCCAGTTCAGAGTTTGAAATAAAAAGGAAAAAAAGTATATTGAATAGGGCACTGGACTTTGAGTCAGAGAGCCCTGGGTTCAAATGCTGCCTTAGTTACTTACAAGCTGGGTGAAACTGGCAAGTCACTTAACCTCTCAATTTCCTCATCTGTTAAATGAAGGGATTAGATGCAATGGTCTCTAAGCTCCCAGGGGCCATTAGCACCCAGGACACCTTTCCTACCTTACTCATGTTCTTTCCACCTCACAAATCACTCCTCCAGAGACCATGCCCTGGGGCAGCTAATCCACTCAGCTCTGAACTCCATGGGACCCTGCTTGTTCATTCCAGTCACCCTCTACCCTTCCCCCCCTCTTTCTACCTCTTCTTAAAGAACTAGAACAAAATCAACACCACCATTGCTTCTGGAAAGGGGATTTCAATTGGCATTCTTACTGGTTCACCCCCAATCTCTGAGACTTCCTAGACCAAAACACTCTTCTCTAATAATAATGATGATGATAGCTAGCATTTACAGAGTGCTTGAAGGTTAGCAAAGCACTTTACAAATATTATCTCATTTTAGGAGCCACGATACTACGTATTGCCTCCCTCATTAGACTCTAAGCTCCTTGAGAAAAAAAAGGCTATTTCACTTTTGTGTTTGTATGCCTAGGACTTAGCACAGTATCTGGCAAATAGCAAATACTTAATAAATGATTTTTCATTCATCCGTTCAATAAGGGTTACATGAAACAGTAAAAGATTAAAAAATTAAATGGTCTCTAAAGATCTTTCCACTTGTAAATTTTTATGGAGGGCAGAGAACACCTATAGAGGTCTTCACCTCAGTGCCAATAACAGGCTTAATAATATCATGTAATATTGATACTGATGAAGATGATAAGGATAATGATAATGATGCTAGACCCAAGTGTAAGACAATTAAAAGGGGGGGAGTAACAGAGTTCATAATAACATCTTCCTAATCTCCATTGCCAGCATAACACTCCCTGCCTCCACCACCAAAAAATAAAAAAATTTAAAAACCAACCTAAAGGAAAAATACCCAAACTCCAAAGTTCCCACTACACTCTCTATCTCCAGAATACTTGTTTCCAGTTTACATTACTTACCATCAATGACGTGAAAGAATAGATTTCAATCAACTGACAGCCCCAGAGCCAACAGCTATATTACTATCTCACATCACAGAACACTTGTCTCACCTGGCAGTGGCTTTAGCCTCCATCAGCCCATACAGGTTATGAAGGTTATAGTGGGAGGAGAGACTTTGCTTTGCAGAGGCACAGATTGTCTTGGCAAATAAAGATCCTTCCACCACCGCTGCCAGAGAAACAGAAAAGTAAAAATTGTTCACCAGCAAGAGATTTCTCACCCAACCAAGGGCAGTGCGCTGGAAAGGGTCTGAGAGACGGAAGAGGAATTGGGCTGGTGAGTGGAAGTTTATAAGGGAGAAACACCCCTCCCTCCCAACCCACCCTTACCAGGTGTGTAGGGTGGGTTATCCAGTTCTCCAGAGGTACAACCATCTACTGAACCGTCCTTGAAGTTAGACGGTTCATTCATGTCCTAGACACAGAGATAAGCATTGTGGAATCATGGGAAAGGGTACCCCAGGCTACCTAGATGGGACTTTAATATTCACTTCCAACATTAGATGGTGTTAGTCAGAAAAACTCTGATAGCAGAGCCCAAATGGGATGATATCTTACACTCTATCCTCAGAGCTCAGCCCCCAGGTCTATTCCTGCAACTCGGCTTTAGTTATATGGTTAGTTTCCCTCTCTAAGTGATCCTCCAGTACCCTCCTTTGACTCTGACCTCTGACCTACTTCTTTGGGTAATGATGCTCAGTGACGGACATAGAGATGCTTACAGCCAAGAAGGCATAAGGATATAAAAGTACAAAAAAGTATAAAGCTATAAAAACTGGTTACATCCTAGAGATTCAAAGCCATAGAGTAGCTATTATAAGCAGATTTTCTTCATTTATTTTTAGATGAAGGATTTCAAGTTAGACAAGCAAAGGCCAACAGAAATGGTATAAATCTTCCAAATTATTTGAGATATGCTCTTCTTCTGGCAGAAGCACTGTTGTTTAACAGTGATGAAGCATTAATAGCCTACCAGTGTCTGGAAGGAAGGGAAGAGATCAGAATCTCTCCCCTATGACTCTTTAGGCCCCTACAGAGGGAAGAAACTTACAATCCAGAGTCCATCAAAGGGAACTCTTGCGTGGAATACATTCAGGTTCTGTAGCCACCACTGGTGTGTCTCTGGGTTGGAGAAGTCAGGAAATGCGGTGAGGCCAGGCCACACCTACCACATAGCCCAGGAAAGCAAGAGTAAATATCTTCTCCCAAATACCCACAGGCCCCTACCCTTTAGCCTAGGTCAAGGATACTTAAGATGGAGTCTATGAACTTGTTTTTTTTTTAAATATTTTGATAACTATATTTCAAAACAATTGGTTCTCTTTGAAATTCTATTTTATTTTATGCATTTAAAAACTTTCTTCTGAGAAGGAATCCATAGACTTCATCAGACTGCCCAAGGGGTCCATGACACAAAAAAGATTAAGAACCCTTGCGCTAGGGCATACTCTTTTGGTCCTGGAGAGCTTTGGGTACCTTTAGGAAGTTTTATTCCATCAAGTTTAGGACCCCAGAAGCAGAAAGGGGAAGAAGGATGGACGTTAAATTAGTTGCTATCATTTCCCAGGAAATGGCACCAAACTAGTCAAGGTTAATAGTTAAACCCTGACATCAAAGGCAGCTAGCTTTTATCCCCAACATTTAGCCAGTTTCTGGAGTCTTTTTAATGTCTTTGAGCCCTTCCCTTCCACTGGAACCACACTTCAGGACTCTACATAAATAGAACAGAGATGACAGAGAGTGACCACTTCATGCCTTCTGGGTCTAAAGGAAAGGACTACAGAGCAATGCCACTGAAAATACTGGTTTCCCTCCTCATGCCCAGAATGCTCCAGATGTTTCCCATCATTCTGGGGCTAGACCATCTCTTGAGTGTTATTAGTGTTCTGTACCTATCAAATGCAGCTTTTTCTCTCACCTGTCCAATCAATGGCTGTCCCTGGGTGTTGTTAATGAAGATCCCTTTTTTCAAACCTTCATCATAAGGAGCATAAGTGCCAGTAGCCTGACTGCTGCTGATGGCAGGGTCCTGAAAAGACATTTGGGAAGCAGCAGTTATAATTTGGGGCAACATCTGGCAGAAATCTTGGCCCTAAAAAGGTATATTATAATCCGTCTGGAAGTTTTAGAGAGTCCACTGGCTAACTCTCCTTATCTTGAGAATATAGTTCCCCTGATTTAAAAGAAGAATGAATTAAGTAGGAAACATTGCCTACGATATTGCATTTTTTCAATGCATTGATTGGCCTTACTGCATTTTTTATTCTCGTTATTCTTTTTCTTTTTTGAATTATTTTTTAAAAGGTATGGCCCTCTGGGAAGAGGTAGGGGGAATAAAAGATACAAATACAAACTTATTTTTAAAAAAAAAAGAATGCAGTTACTTAAGCATCTATGAGGATATCTTTATGTTTAAGCACTCCCTCCCACAAGGCACATGGTGGAGGGTGATGCTGTGGAGCAATAGGAAAAGTCCCTAGTTGCCCAAAGGGATTGAAACAGAAGAGAATTCTAATCCAGAAATGGCCCATTTTAAATCAAATATGAGTTTCCAGCCCATAAATCCACTTAACATGAGTCATGAGAGCAAACTCCTTGACTGGCCCACGGTTCTTTGTTTGGTGTTTACTTCCTGTTACAAGAGCCATTTAAGGCTTGGCTGGAACTCCAATGGTGCAAGAGGAATATTGAATATTTCCTTTTGGAAAGTAGCATGCTGGGGAAATCCCTAAACCACTCAAGTTAGCCTGAAGGGTAGAGCTTTGAAAGGAGGTGATCACAGGGGAAATGGAAAAGCAAGGAATGTGCTGTCCTTTCCTTGGGCAAACCCATAAAAAGAAGCTGGTTACATCCTAGAGATTCAAATCCAAGGAGTGGCTCAATCTTAAGGGGATTTTATTTATTTATAATTGAAGGATTTCAAATTAGACAAGCAAAGGCTTGAAAAGAACCATGAATTCAAGAGATAAAAAAGACCTTTGACATGTCTATGTTTTTCCATTTACAGAGAAGTTAAGTGAATTTTCCCAAGATCACACAAAGCCTCTTGAGTCTATGATCCTATGAAGCAAAGCACAATGCTACTTATATCTGTGTCATCAAAGCGGGAGGGAGGGTGATTATTTCTACTCATGGGTGACTTGAGTTCTCTGAAGATCAATTAAAGCTTCCCTTCACAAGAGAAATTTCCATGTGGCATTAAGACAGCCACAGTTGCTATTGGGAGTTATTATAGTACAATAGAAAGAGAACTGATTCCAGAGCCAGGAGATCTGATTACCAATCATGCCTATGTCACTACTTGTGTGGCCTTGGGCTAGTCATTTATCCTCTCTGGGCCTCAGTTTTCCTCATCTGTAAAATGAGAATGTTGGAAGAAATGGTCTCTGAGATCCTTTTAGTCAATTAATCAAATAGCATTTGATTTAGGTTCCTTACAGGTTCATTACAATGGTCTAAGACGTTTGTGCTAAAAATTCTTTAATTGTGTCTTAAGCAGTAAATAATTGCCCAATTTTGTTATAAATATATTTTTCCTCTGTGCCAACAAACACGTGCATGTTTGAAACATTACAGGTTTGTTTCTGCAGTGATTTGAATCCATCCTTATCATGGGCACAATTATTTTGGTATTCATACAATGGTTACATCAAACTCTAACTCTGACCACTTCTAACTAAGGGCAATAAGTTCTTGCAGTTTCTCAATCTGTCATCAAATTGTTTCCAAACCATCACAAAGATTTAACATTTGAGAGCAAACCAATTCCTAACAGAGGGTTCAAATGCTTGTGCACACCCTTCTTCACATTCTTTGCATTGTACCAGAGCAGCTCCCTCATACCCTTCTGTTACCCTGTAATAACCTCATTGGCTGTGTAAACATGTGATCAATACATTACGAACATTTTCATTCTGTTTTGTTTTGTTTTTTAGGCAACTGGGGTTAAGTAACTTGCCCAGGGTCACATAGCTACTAAGTGTTGAGTTTTTGGTCTGAGGCTAGATTTGAACTCAGGTCCTCCTGACTTCAGGGCTGGTGCTCTATCCACTGTGCTACCTAGCTGCCCCTGAATATTTGCATTCTTGAAGTGAAACTCTCAGGCTGTTTCAAAGACATTATCACTGGACATACACATTACAAGCCACTTTGAAAACATCATGGACCATCACAAATATTCTGCAGAAATAAACTTTATATGGTTTTTCATTGCAATATTAAGGCTGTTTTCCAATTTAAAATTATTCTCCACTATTTTACTATTCTTCTATCCGGTGAACTTTCAAATGCACTGGTTGGCAACACTGGTCAGTCATCTGACAAGAGTTTCTGTAAGAATGTAGCTGGTTTGACAGTGACAAAAAAGATGACAGTCCAGTCTGAAGAGAGTCTTTCCTTACAAAGGCTGGTTTGTATATAAACATTGTTTAAAAATGAAACAATTTATGCAATTGAACTCTAGGTACATTTTAACATAGCACTTGTCATGAGCCGGAAGAAAAATAACTATTTCATTTTGAAACTAGCTATTCATTTTCAATCAGTTCTTAAGGCGGCTAAAATTAAAAAATGAATTTCCATTTCTTGACAAGTGTTTGTACGATTCTCCTGCCATCCACCACATATTTATGTGAGTGAGCATTTTCACTTTCTTTTAATTTTAAATCAAAATAAATAAACTCAATGTGGACCCAGATATAAGAATATGTTTGCCTGGTCTCGAGCCAAGTACTGCAAACCTTTGTTCAAATAAAAAAAAGTCCAACATCAAAATTAAATTTAAAGTTGCAGCTTACTTCATTAAAATGTTATTTATATTCAACAAAATTAAAGACATTTAATAAAGCCTTGCAGGTAATAGTAAGCATTATAAGGTCTTACTTGATTACTTCTTTCAATTCTGACAAAATGTCCCACATAAAATATCTATAATTATCTTGCAATCAGAGTTTTACAATTTTATAAATTACCATAATTAAAGGTGGAATAAACTTTTATTTCCTATAATTATATAATATAAATTTTAATTTGGAGCTTTTGAAGGCAAAAGTTATCACTGTAGTTATTGTAAGCACTTAATGAATAAATCTAGAAGATTATGAGTAATATAATAAATTACCCTCAGAGTTCATAACACTTTTTTTTTTAACAGAGTTCATGGAACAAAAAAAGTTGGGAAACATTTATTAATCACCTACTCTGTGCCAAGAACTTCTAGCTATAAGTCTATGATCCTATGATCTCTCCATAAGCTCACAGTTAGGGAACTGATTTTGGCTTCATCCAAGAGTTGATGTGAACATGTTTCTTCTCCTAGTGCCAATGGTATTATGGTATTTTTCTCACAAGTCTGGAGCAGCCTGACCTGCTCTCCTGACTTAGGCCCCCTGAGCTCCCTGAAGAGGGAACATTCCTGACCTCCACAGAAGGTCAGAAGTCACCTTACCAGAATTAGTACATAGTATTGCCCATGCTTGTGCAGGTCCATCACTAGCTGGGGGAGTGTGCCAAAATGCTCTGGGTCAACTGTGAAATCCCGAGATCCTTCCATGTAGTCAATATCATTCCACTGAGCATCCTACCAGAAAAAAGATACATTAGTAGACTGCAGACAAACCCATGCTTACTCCCTTTGGATAAACCATTGTACTTCACCATTGTATTCCTGAGCAGCTAGATGGCAGAAGGGATAGAGTGCTGGGGCTGGAGTCAGGAAGACCTGAATTCAAATCTGGCCACAGACACTTCCTAGCTGTGTGACCCTGGGCAAGTCACAACCCTATTTGCTTCAGTTTCTTCATCAGCAAAATGAGCTGGAGAAGGAAATTGCAAACCACTCTAGTATCTTTGCCAAGAAAATCCTAAATGGGGTCACAAAGAAATGGATACGACTAAACAACAACAGAGTATTCTTTTTTTAAAAAAAAAACCATTTTATTTGTCCATACTCCTCGTTTATATTGTTGAGGAAATTAAGACCTTGGGAGGACAAGTGACTGATGAAAAGTCCCAGAGATACTGTGACAGGGATGGAATTTGAAGCCATGTCCTCTATGCCAGAGACACTTTTTTTCTCCCTCTTCTGTCACACAAATGATTGCTTTTGGCATAGTGGTAGGAGATGGAGCACATGGGCATTGGGACAAAGTGTCAAAAAAAGACGCGTTGAGAATATAGGAAACATAAAATTAACATTATGGTCAGAGTGATACTTGGTACCATTCCAAGTTCCCAACCTGGATAAACATTTCCCTAGGGGATAAGGGAAACATGATAAGGAAGTATGTATGTGGAATATGTGGTGGCCAACTTATATTATCTTGTTGAAATATTCAAAAGATGTAGTACCAAAAAAATTATGAACCAAATAAAGTTTTATTTATGAAAAAATAATTTTATTTCAATTAACAAAGCTTAATTTTCTATCCATCCACTCCCCCAAAAAGAAAGAAAAAACCCATTAGGGCAGAGGTGTCAAGGGGCCTCCTTTTCTATTTGAGGTTGACACTACTGCACTAGGGTATTCTTGAAAAACACATCCAGGTATATAGAAGGGCCAAAACTTCAGGTTTGTATAGAATGAAAATCATAACAACAATAACTTTGTCTTAACATAGGCTCTATCTCATAAAGCCCTCAACTCCACTTTTACCATTTTTTTCCTTTTAGCAGATGAACTCATCTCAGGCTTACAGCAAGAGGCCATCTGATAGGAGAGGTTGGCAGTGTGGTACCACAGTGAGAGCCCTGGGCTGGGCAGAATGGCACATGTCAATAGTCCTTGATGCTGAGGAGGTTAAGGCTGGTGGATGCTTGAATTCAGGAGTTCTGAGATGCAGGAAAGCTAAAGCCAGTTGGTGGTCTGTACCAAGTCTGGGCAGTGAATAGAATGCCAAGCCTAGAGTCAGGAAGACTCATCTTCCTGAGTCCAAATCTAGCCTCAGACACATACTAGCTGTGTAACTCTGGGCAACTCACTTCACCCTGTTTGCCTCAGTTTTCTCATCTGTACAATGAGCTGGAGAAGGAAATGGCAAGCCACTCCAGTATCTCTGCCAAGAAAATCCCACAAAATGGGGTCACAAGAAGTCAGACATGACTGCAAAAAAAAAAAAACAAAACCAACTGCAAAACAATAACATTAAGTCTGGCACCAATATGGCCAACCTCTCCAGGAACGGAAGGCCTCTAGGCTGCCCAGGGAGATGGCTAGGGAGATGACTAGCCCAGGTCAGACAAAGGAACAGAAAATCCTCCATGCCAATCAGAATGGGGTTTGGCCCTGTTAACGGTCACCGGTCTTTCAAATCTACAAGATCATAAGACCTAGTCTGGAAACAAAACAAAACACCAGAAACTGGCTCTGGAGTCAGAGGATCAGAGTTCAAACACCGCCGCTCTGATGCTTACAATGTGTCTGACCTTTGCTAAGTCACTTAACACCTCCTCCCCCGCCTCAGTTTCTTCATCTGTAAAATGATGGGTTCAGACTAGATGACCTTGGGTTTTCTTTCTCACTCTAGATCTATGCTAAGAATTTTCTTTCACTATTCTAAACCTTCCAATGTCTTCATCCATCTTTTTTTTTCCTTTTTTCTGGTCTTAGCTAAATTTATTCCTTCACCTGTACTTTTGAGTCCATTGCCTCCATAGCCTTACTCTGGTAGTCATCCCCTCCTTCATGCATTTGAACCACTAAATCCAGGGGTCTTTTATAAGTCTTCATACTCCTTGACCTCTATGCCACTTTCTGATATTATGAGCCAATGCAGTGCAATAAAGAGACAGAGAACCTGCGTCTGGAGTCAGCGACCTCGGTTTGAATGCTGGCTTGGCTATTTACCATCCAGGCAACCTTGGGTAAATCATTTTCACTTTTCTGTGCCTCAGTTTCCTCATCTGTAAAATGAAGAAGAGTAGGCTAGATGACCCTGCTCTTTCTTGGTTCTTCTCCTACCTGTCTTCAAGGGATTTACATTCTATGAAAAAGGATACAACATATACATAGAGAAGTAAATACAGGATAATTTGATGAGAAAGAGTATAAACAACTTAAAGGATAAGGGAAGGCCCCGTGGAGAAGGTGGTACAATAGAAGCTTGGGCATGGAGTCAGGAAGAGCTGGGTTCAAATCCAGCCTCAGACACCCACTAGCAGTCTGACCCTGGAGGGAAAATTGCTTAACTTCTGTCTGCCTCAGATTCCTCAAATGAAAACTAATTTATATTAAATTTAATTTAATAATAACAAATAATAAATTTAATTAAAATTAAGTTAAATTAAATAAGTACCTACTTCCCAGGGTCATTATGAGGAGCAAATGAGATAATACTTGTAAAGCATTTAGCACAGTGCCTGGCACATCAGAGGCCCTTGCTAGATCTTTTTTTCCTCCCTCCTCAGTCTCTTTTGTTGGGTCAATATCCATTTCCCAGCCACTTCGCTCATTCCAAGGCTCTGACCTGGCCCCTCTTCTCTTCCCTCTCTGATGCTGTATCCCTTCTAAGCAGGTGACTCTCAAATCTACACATCCAGCCCTGGTCTCCCACATAAACTCTAGTTTCACGTCATCGACCGCTTGGTGGATACCTCCACATGGGCAACCCGCTTATCCGCATCTCAAACTCGCCCATTTCCTGGCTTCTATGGGTAATACCATCCACCCTGATGTGTAGCTTCAGAGTCGTCATTGACTTTTCCCTCCCCCTCATTGACCCAGCTCCAATCAGGTGCTAAGTTACATCAAGTCTACCTTCCAAAGATCTCTTATTCTCCCTTCTCTCTTGTCACAGGGTCACGATCCTGATGAAGAGCACCCCGTCTCCCTCACCCAAACAAGTGCAGTAACCTCGCCGCCTTAAGCCTATTTCTTCTCCAAACTATACTTCATGGAGCTCCCAAAATGATTTTCCTGAAGCGTAAGTCTGACCACATCACTTCTCTACTCGATAAAATCTCATGACCCTCTATTGCTTCTAGGAGTCAACATAAGTTCTGGTGTTTTGGGGGTTTTTTTTAAGGCAATTGGGGTAAAGTGACTTGCCCAGGGTCACACAGCTAAGAAGTGTCAAGTGTTTGGTCTGAGGCCACATTTGAACTCAGGTCCTCCTCACTTCAGGGCTGGTGCTCTATCCACTGCGCCACCTAGCTGCCCCTCTGGTGTTTGGTTTTTAAAGCCATTTACAACCAGGCATATCTTTTCAACTTTCAACTTTATCATACTCCATTATTGAACTCCATTGTCCACTCAAATTAACCTTCTTGGTCTTCCTCACACGTGACCCAACATCTTCCATTTCTGGACCTTTGTACTGGCTGTCCCGCATTCCAGAAATGAAATCCCCCATCACCTCTGCCCCTAAACATCTTTTTTTTTCATCAAAACTCTGATCAAGACCCACCTTCTACATGAAGGTTCCTTCAGCTATTGGTGACATCCCCCCATTTACCTCGCCTTTATTTTATATCTACTTATGTTTGTAGGTATTGTCTCCCCTAGTGGAATGTAAGCTCCTAGAAGGCAGGGACTGTTTAAATTTTATCTTTGTAGACCCAGTGTCTATTATAATGCCTAGTACATAGTAGGTGCTTTTAAAAATTGTTAATTGATTAATTATTATATTAATATATTAATTATATAAGATATTAATTTATACAATTAATATATTAATTATATCAATATATTGTGTGTAATATTGTTGATTAAATATTATATATTAATTATTATGTATAATAATTAATTGTTATATATCAGGACTGGATGTGAAGTCGAGGAGGAATAGCACCTGTCAGCTAACTAACTTTTGTTTATCAACAAGGCAAAGGCCATGCTGATGCACATTAATCACTGTTCAATGAAGATAAGCAGGAATCAAGGCAGGACTTTAGAGACAAAGGACTGAGTGACATTTGGGGAGAAAAAGGGAAGAGTGACATCTTTCAGCATCATGAGAACGAAAGAAGAGTGAAATATGACAATGGATATAATGCACCAAGTTCAGATGTTAAGGAAAACATGAGGCATTCATGAACGATGGGCTAATTACTTATACCTTTTAGCTGGAACTATGTAGGCTTAAAAAAGTAATTAGATAAAACCAAGTTAATTCTAATTAGGGAAGGATGATCAGGAACTATTACTCCTGCCCTTAAACGAAGGCATCCCCTCAAACATTTCTTCTCTTCTCACTCTCTAATCTCTTCCTTGATTTTCATCCATCTCCTCTACTTTAATTAAAATTGCTAGGCAAATGAACTCCAAATTTAGAGCTCTACTCTCAACTTTTCTCCAGAAGTCCAAACTTATATTTCCTTTTTTAAAATAGGTTTTTAAAATTTTTTTTATTGTTTGTTTTTGCAATGCCTGCATTTCTTCCTCTATCTCATCCCCTTTCTTTTCTCCATCCAGAAAGCCATCTTTTGTAACAATGAATTTTTTTTTAAAAGAAGAAAAAAATTCAACAAAGCTAATCAACACATTAGGGGGAAAAATTTGACATTATATGCTATGTCCCACACCTATGAAACCCCACTTCTACAAAGTGGAGGAGATCTCTTCTTTGGGGCCAAGCTTAGTCT